GTAAGTTAGTAGGGTTTCGAGACTACCAGTAAATCAGTGTAATGAGATGTATTCACCCTATTTCGTCTAATGATATGAGTTGAGCTGACGTTTCCATTGAATTTTCACATAGCCTTGCTTTCCCAAAAGTTCGAATCCCGCTGAGGGTGTTGATAAGGCCAATGCGAGGTCGAAACTGCAGTCCACCTCAGTCGGGATGAGAACAACTTTTGTGAAAGCAAGGCTATGTGAAAATTCGATGAAAACGTCAGCTTAATTCATATGATTGTGGGAAAATTCTACTTCTACCAGTCTTTCATCACCTTAACCGAAATTGTGTGAATACATCTTATACTACTGATTTACTGGTAGTCACGAAAACAATATTTAATTCGAAAAATAAAATAAATTCTTGATATAAGATGTATTTAAACAATTTCGTTTAATGATGAGAACAACTTTTGGGAAAGCAAGGCTATGTGAAAATTCAATGAAAACGTCAGCTCAATTCATATGATTGTGGGAAAATTCTACTTCTACCAGTCCTTCATCACCTTAGACGAAAAAGGGTGAATACATTTCATTACGACCAATTCTTGTCCGAATCGCCTCCCGAACCTCAAGGCGATGAGGTTCGGCTTCGTATTCGAGTCTCGAGGCGACTTGTGACTGGCCCACCTGCCCAACACACCCACACTTCCCTGCCTGGCGCGTGTTCGGTCCTCTTCGAGGGGCTGGCGGAGCTGAAGACGCAACCAGAAAAAGAAAAGCCTGTCAAGCCGTAGCTGGCGAGTTGTGTGAATATGGGCTCGGCAAGCAGAGCAGTGCTGTCGGCCGCCCTCGAAAGGAACAGCTTCGAGTCCCGCCGCTCGACTGATCCAGTCGAAGAGGCCAGAACCACAGCCGCTGGGACTAGCAATCGAGTCGAACGGTCCGCATGCATGCCCACAACGAGGCAGGTGGATATTGCTCGTCGCCCTGTCGGTGTGCCCTTGTCCTTGTTCATTGACCCCAACCTTGAATCCGCGACCAATTAACCCTAACGGCGTTTGGTCCGAAACCCAAAGATTATTTCTGTGTATGTGTGTATGTCGTTTAGGGAAATCAAGTGTTCGCTTGTCGCTAGGTCTAATCGTCTGCCAAGGCCAACAGGACGAATCCAATCAGGCCTAACGAAAGGGTATGCGCGTTTGAGCATTTTCACACTTTGCCAAGTAGTCAAGGTTTGCGAGTTGGGTTCACTCTGTTTCGTCCATATTACACGCTGCACTGTCATGGTTCGAATCCCTCCTTGGCGTGTTGATAAGACCAGTTAATGCGAGATCGAGACTGCAGTCCACTTCAGTCAGCAGACGAGTTCGGACTAGGTGCGTTCTATGAAGTCGCCCTGGCAACAGGACCAAGTTGCGACTTCGAGGTCAACCCACTTGTACAAATCAAAAGGAGATTGCGACCATACCAGAGACCACACCATCTTGGTCTTCATATCTGCAATTATGCTCGTATTATTGCGCGAAAATTGAACTTCCAGTCCCTCATCACGTCGAACAAAAAAGGATGAACACAACTCATAGCTCTGATTTACTGGCAGTCTCGAAAAGCTATGCGAAGAAGAGTTGGGTTTCGAGCAATCTCTTGTTGCATAATTGTTGAGCT